TAGCAGGTATCATAATGCATGAAAACAGTAAGATCCTTATAGGTAGATACTAAAGTTGATAAACTTTACCTCCTCTACTCCCTCTGAGAAGCCTGGCTCACTACTCATGATCTGTGCTCCATTGCTATTTGCTCAAGAAAGCCTTGCCTGACCAAATTCAAACCTTTTTATTCTAGAAAGCTCATGGCATCATCTTCCTCAACTTTGCAGTAATAAATGCAAGTCATTTTCCATATGTTCTGCTTACTGATCAATGCTTCTATTTGCTATAAGCTCCATGAGGACAATTAAGGGGATTAACACAAGGAAAATACCTTGAAAATATCTTAAATGAATGAGTAGATTCAGAGATCAATGATGTCTACCTTGGAGGCTGGTGGAAGATTATGGGACAGCTGTAGATGCTGGAATAGTTCCACCTCTAGCAGGTTATTTGATCTTAGTTACTACATGCATTTGCATGAAGAAATCCAGTGTAATCTCTGGCTGGTAAAAGTTTGATTGTAAAAGCAGGAGACAATGGGGATCTCAGAACATTACAAGGGTCTACCAAGACTTTGTTTTCATGACATAATCCACTTCCTTCATGCAAGACTCTGGTTTAGTGTCCTTTTCTCCAATGACTTCTTTGCTCTATCCAAAAAGCAGGGAATTTCTCTATCAAGGCTGCTATTTCATTCAAGAGTGGATGCAGTTTGGTGAAGTGTCCTAGTGGAGAGTCAATGCTTGAATCATTGCTCCTCTTTGATAAGAGGAATCAAGGCTTTCACTTGTGCCTGCTTAGCTGACAAAGTTGCTACTAGTGTTTTGTAGCTATGTAAGGACTCCTTGTGCAGAAGTTTACTTGGACTCATCTACATTCAAGTTCAACATACCTGCCCATGTTCACCCATTGTCCATCAGCTTTTAACAAAGATTAATGACTGCACAGTGACAGACAGGCACTGTGGAACCAGAAATGGACAGCAGTACGCATAACATGTTCTTTAGCCCTAATGACACTTCAGAACAAAACGTGAGGTTGCCATTACTATGAATTTAAAGTGTCACTAGGGAAACTGGTTTTGCCTATTATTTTTTCCCCTCAAGGAAGAAATGATCAGGATCTGGGCAGTTTAGGAACCATACAACTGTGAGAACAGAAGGCATATTCCTCAGGGATACAGAACATCCTTTCAAGAATGTTCTGATCTCTTAAGAACCAAGAAATGAAAATGTGGTTTCTCAAGTCCAAAAAGCCCAAATTTTCTTCTTCTAGATCCACATACCATAAATATAGTTAATAAGACAGGGGGAAAAAAGTGGGTTGGATAGGCCTTAGTTCATCTTAGCTTTTGGCATCTCATTAAGGAACATGTGAAGAAGATTATATTACGGATGGCCTGAGTCATGCTTTTGATTTTCATTCCAGCACTCTTCATGATTATACCCAATTATTTGCTCTGCCTTTTTCACCACAGACACATTTTGGTCAGTCTTTGCAGACAGTCTACAATGATTTGTAAACCCATTTATGGGATTATCACCTATTATTCTGGTTACTCACCTCCAAATGCAATTTAGAGTCATTTTTTCCATAATCTCTGTTTATATAGATACTCTCTGATTCTTTTTTTTTTCCCAGTGTACATGGACTATGACTTACAATTTTGCTGTTAGAAAGATCCAGAAGTTTCTACACCCAAGATTATACAAAAGCGTTAAACTAGATTAGCCCTAACCAGTTCACACATCTCCATCCGTTCAAAGAAATGACATTATATATCTATCCATTGTTTTCCCTGTCTGAGACAGTCTCCATCTCTGAGACTATTTTTTCTGATATCATATTCATTAAGAATTGTAGCACGCAAAAGTATCTGGAAATATGCATTATGTCAATTGTATTTATTTGCCAAATTCTCATTATTCAATTGTCCCATATTCGCTGACATCTTAGACTTCCTTTGACTTCAGAATATTAACTGTGCTGTGTATCTAGGTCTACACGAGCAAGTCACAATAAGTAAGTACATTATGAATCTGAACCATCAGCAGTTGATGCAAACAATTCTTGGAAAAAGGGGCTTATTTTGCCCTATCAGGGGTCTCAGCTATTGGTAATAACCACATTCACACATGTATCTATCTGTGGAGTGCTATTCCTTGTTTTAACTCATGTAGCTCTAGATCTGCAGGCTGCTACCCAGTAAAACAGCAACAGTTTACTGAGCATACAAGTAGTTAAACTTATCCCTCCATTGACAAATGGAGAAACAAGTACTCTTGAAAAAACAAAGAGAAATTAGTCTGATAATGAAAAACTACTGAAAGCAATTTACAAGCCATTCCCCTGACAGTATATAAACTCTTAATATGCTGCACGTAACTCAGGGTCAATCTTTTCTTGATTCCTCCCTTCTAATCATATATCTTTATAGCAGCAACACTGACACCTGAAATTTCTTTCACTTGATGTTTCAGGGGGATATACAGTAGCAAACGTGGCTATGTATTAAAAGAAGCAAATGGCTTGCATTGTTTAAGTCAATGGATGCCTCTGATAATTAAAAAAATATAAAAAGGTTAATCAAGCAGTAATGAAACCAAGCAGTCCCAGAATCTGAGCACTTGTGTAAAACCTAAATTTGTTGTTACATGCCCTTAAATAAACAGACTAGGAGATTGCCACAAGTAAGTTGGAACTTAAATGGTATAACTATTATTTCCTTAAGAATTTTTCAAGCCAGGAAAAAAAAGTTGCAAAATAAAATTGGGTGGAGAATATAATAAAAGGGGAGCAGTGGTATCCCAATGGAGAGAAAAGCAAAAAGAAATTTCAGAAAGGATAACAAATTAGTTTAGCAAAGTCACAATGAGAGAGGGCAGACAAAAATAAAGGCAAAGGATGTAGCGTCCAGGGAAAGAGGAAGGGGCGAGTGGAAACAGCTGGAATTGTTCAGCTGTGTCAACATTCGGCTGTTTCACAGATTGACTAGCAAAGTGTCATCTGAAACCAATTACATTCCCAAAACCCCATGGACCCAGTTCATAACATTGATTAATCCACATTGTGAAAAAGTCCCCAAGCAAAACTAGAACAGCTGTCAGCCCTTGGAGCTCAAAAAACAGCAACTGCTTAAGGAAAAAAAAAAAAAAAACCAACAAAAAAGATCCTCTTAAATTTTAGGGATTTTCAGAATGCAAGCCTACTGAAATCGAAGATAGATTTAAAATTGCTACTACCCATATCTGTTCAAGAACAACTGACTATAATTAGAAAAGCTGGGGTCATGTTAAAATAAACCCAAAGTCCATTCCCAAAATTGGAACACAACCTCCTCAAAGTCTGTAATATCTTGTATCTTTTTACTCCCTTCTGGAAATAACCCTGTGCATTTAATTTTTTTAAAACCTGTTTATTTTTTCTCCTCATTATTTTAAATGCATCAACCTAATTCCTCTGGGCCAATCAAAATGTGGTTATATTTAATACATTTTCCAATAAAAAGTATTTTCTGTTCCTTGTTCCATTTCACAAAATAGAAGCATATATAACAACCCTGAGTTACAAAAATCTCATTTGGTCACGAATCACACATACATATGGCCACCAAACCCCTTCAATCTGCACAGCCTGTAAAGATGTTCATGAAACCTTGCCCTTGAATCTGAAGTTACTTCAACCAGACATCCTGTGACCAGGTGAGAGGAGACCCCAAAGTCATATAAATGGCCATGGAAGGCTCCATTTCTGTAGATTTGACCTGAAATCTCCACCATAAAACTGCAGGTGTGGTAGGAGCCCTTCATCCTTTGGATGGATTATTTCCAACAGAAATGATATGCTATTCATTGGTTCATTCATTCAACAAGCATTTACTGAATGTCTACTTTCTACCTAACACTGGGTTTCAATATGTGCATTTACTATAAGTAAAATGAAGCTGGAGAGTGACTGGCCTATGCCAGATAATTAGGAATTTCTACAATTTGGACTAAAATCAAGGATTATCTGATACCTATTGTTAATTCTGTGCTATCAAAAAAAAATTGCTACATTATGCCTAACATAGGTTTTCATAAATTAGGAGGGAGCCTGAGTAAGCAAAGCATCATTCCAATGGGAACTACATCCCAAGTTACAAAAAATGGGTATATATTTGATTTTAAGAACATAAACAGCATTTAAACATTCAGTTACTATGCTGCTGTGCTCCTCTGCATGTCCTATTAGTAATCTGATGGTCTCATCTGTTGAAATGCCACTCTGTAATTTCAGATTTTATGAAATTGAAGTGTCTTTGATATATTGATCCTTTTTATGCAAATATGTATACTTGCAGATCACAGCACTAACCAGTACCACAGGGTGAATTATTTCTCTCTGATTGAAATGATTTAAAGATATACAAACCTTGATTCCACTGGTGCATCCTTGGATTCAATAACTCAAAAATAAATAAAATAACACAACCCACAAGGCATAATGTCAAGAAAAGGAATCTAGGCTTATACTTTGGATTTCAGAATTGGAAGAAGGTTAACAAGAGCAACAAGTTACTTCACATGCAAAGAAATACTGTCACTAAATGCTGTTCTCCTAAGAGGAACAGCATTTTTTGAACTTTGCAGTAAGGTAACATCTGCACTAGGTTTTGAAGAACTTGGGGCCATTTACACTACAGAAATGGCATACTGATAGGGTGAAGGGCAAGACACAGAGACAGAGCAATAACAAGTAGTTTCTAGACAGAGGCTCTAATTCTTTTTACTATTTTTTTTTTTTACCCAGAGGATATATATATAATTATTGTTTTTTAAATGCTCATGATGTCACAGATAAAGAATACCAATTGCTCCCGACAGAATTCTAACTACAGTACGTGCTTATAAGAACAAATTACTGTTTATACATGGACAGGATTGCAAATGAGGGGAAGAACATTACAAATTACATGTTATTGAAAGAAAGCCAAAAACATTTCCATTTCTTTCTTTTTATGAAAATATATCATTACCTGCATCATGCCCCCTTCTCTCAATCCTCTCAATGGACATTGGCATTGATAAGCCTACAAGAAATACAATAGTAAGTTTAGGTTTTTATGTTATGAATTTAGAACATGGGAAAATATCCAGAGAAAAGGGAGCAAAATCACTCACATTTTCATATTCCATGTTTCTCTAAGAATCAGTTGAGTGAAAGGATTTGAACTTCACATGCTAAATGGAGAAATCACCTGTCCCAAGGACTACACACTGAATACGACTTTCAATAAATCTACTCTAATAAAAGGCCTAACCCTTACAAAAGTACTACAGCTTAGAAAAAACCAAATTAATTTTTATGTAAGTTGGAGGTCTATTCTCTGCACATTTTAGCGAACAAAAAGTTACCATCAGCTACACCATTTTTGTTTTCTTATAAATTTCTATCTTATAAATTTCTATCTAGCTCTGCTCTGGGAAACATTATATGAAGCAATAAACATATCCTTGTCAACAAATGAATCCATGTTCTCTTCTGGAGCAGGGTTTGTGCCTTTCATTTGGGCCTACTTGCGACTCTGTGGAGGACAAAGGACCCCAATAATAGTGCCTCATTGGCTCTGATATTGTTTTGAGGATTTAATGAGTCCGGCTATGTAAAGAACTCAGATAGTAAAAGTGTTAGAATAATGTTGTGTTTCCATAACATTGGAGTTCTAGAAAAAAACGAGTTCAGGAATTTAGGTTTTGGCAAATCCACATGATTTTATGGCAGAAGGAGAAAGGGTTTTTTTTTAATAAAGGCAGGGTTTTCTAGCCATTTTTCACCCACATCAAATGCATCTTTTCTTAACCCATTGCAGAAAAGCTGAGCTAGAGTAGGAGTATCTTCTCTGAAGTACAACTGGCAGAGACTTGCAAGTGGTCTCTTCTGTGCTGTAACAGCTCCTCAGAGCATCTAGTTGAGATTCATAAGCTAAAGGGTTTTTGTTTGATTGCGAGGCAAGGTAGAGGGCAGTGAGCAGGTGTACTATTAGTCACAACAAGCTTCCTTACTGTTCCTGTTTTATTTAAAACCAAGACATTCAATGACCCTGTGGATTATTAACAGCTCACATCTCAACAGGATGGCTGCTCCTAGGGTTGGAGGGGATATTAAAGGCCTACCTCCTTGCAGTATCATCAGACACTGCTGAGTGGCTCCAATTTCTCAAATGGCATGAACTGTCTAGCAACAGTGTCACTGCTTATATTCTGGACTGTGACTTGCCTCAACCCAGATGAATTCCAATGATACTGGTGTAGGGGATATTAGAAAAATGGTTTTATAGAGAGTCAAGAAAACCCCAGAACTGAAATTCTCATCTCCTCAGGTGTCTGACCTAAAGTGATGTAAATAGAGCCTCTCTGGTGGCGCAGCGGTTGAACGCAGTGCTATGAAGCTGTCCACAGCCGCTGCAGTGCCTGTTCAATTCCTGGCTGACCAGGGAGATTCCCACATGGCGCGGCAGGCCTTTCCTGTCTCCCCCGCTGCTCCCCTCAGCAGTGTATTTTGGTCCTTCTGCCTGTTCTGCTCCCTGCTCTATCTTGGGTGAATCCTCTCACCCTCCCGTGCCTTTGGACTGTACCCAGTGCTTGTATAAATAATAAATAAATCTTTTTAAAAAAAATGAAAAAAGAAAATACTAAAGTAAGGTAAATATTAAAGAGTAAGTGGGCATGTTACCTTCTCAAGCAACTTTCTGCATCAATTTGATTATACTTCACCTATTTTAGATTAGAGACAGGTAGGCCAGAATCATCTACTTTAAAAGAAAAATAAAAACCCTGCTGGGTTTGTTGGAGTTACTGAATTTCCTCACTGTTTTCCCAATGCAAATGCCAACCATCTCTGAATTCATTGCTTAATTAAATGGTATCAGACTCATTCATTTTCCGTAAAGTCAAGTGATTCTTTTCAATGAATAAAAGATATCATTTAATTTCTTACCACCAAAGCTTTGTCTAACCACTCAAACTGAGCTTAACCAAAAAATGTGGGATTCGGGCCTGCCTCCCTGGTGGCGCAAAGGGTTAAGCACAGCACTATGAAGCAATCCACAGCCTCTGTAGCACGAGTTCAATCCCCGGCCAGCCAGGGAAAATCCCACAAGGTGCAGCAGACCTCTCCTGTCTCACCTGCTGCTCCCCTCAGCAGTGTATTTCAGTCAGACTGCCTGTTCTGCTCCCCACTCTGTCTCTAGTGAATCCTCTCTCCCACCCCTGCCACCCCGCCCGCTGCATCTCTGGCCTATACCCCAGCTCTTGTATACATAAATAAATAAATCTTTAAAAAAAAAAAAAGTGGGATTCTACTATGGCTCCAATGGCTTCCAACTCTAGAACCACGCAGACCACAGAACCGAGCCTAGGTACAAATCACAACTGTGGCTTTTCTATTATCATCAGGAGCAAGGAAAATTCCACAAGGACCTCTCCCCCCAATCACAGCAATACACTTTGATCTTATTCCTCCTTGGGAATGCTTGAAAGGGTAAACCTGCACCTTTAAATGCAATCTCAGATGAAGTGTTGGATGCATTTATGCTACTCTTTGTCTACAAGCCTTAAAAATCAAGACAGTAGAATGATAGCAGTGATGTCCATTGGGGAAACCATCTGAGGAATTAAAAGCATCTGCAAGTTATCCATAAAGGCATTATGTAATGGAAAAGCACACACTGAATACCTTCTCTATATCAGATTCCATCCTGAAATAGTTGAAGGTCCACTGAATTATACAGACAGAAATAGGTGTGAGGTGTGAACAACTGTTGTCATTCCAGGTAGAATCTACTTCTTCTAAACTAAACTATAGATGGCACTTCTGCAGATTACCAGTTCTGTCATTTGGCCTGAAACTGATTGTGTTATTGAAATGCCTGTAAAGAAACAGACCACATCTACTAATTCCCTTCCTCCAAATTACCTTCTTTCACAAAGAAATGGGAAAAATACTCTTCGTTTACTATACTATTCCAGGGGAAAGTGTCATGAAAGTGGTAGACTCCTACACTCATGTGTGTCACTGTTCTAAGCTCCATCTTTTTTGTCTCAGAAGAGGATAAGGCCACACTTCCCAAGCTGTGAGTCGCAACAAACTCACAGGAAATCAGGGTAACATACATTAGACACAGCAGAGATGACTACTAAGTACTTTAAAACTAACAAACACTAGCTATTCTTCTTAGTCTAGGGGGTGAAAAAGTTATTGAAACAGAGACATCATGAGCTGAGAAAGTATGGAAGCCCCACAAATCATTCATCAGACCTCAATGTCCTATGGAATCAGGCAAAAGAGTATATCTGTCCTTCAAGGTCACCTTGAAGGAAGCTGCCAAGGAAGATTTAATAGATTTTGTCACTGTGTGACATGTCACTTCAGATTCAAGAAGAAGAGACATTCCTGTCGAATTGTAGTTAGAAAGTTTTGGGGTACTCCTCAACCATGTTTGTAAGTTGCATAGCACAGTACCTGCCATGTAATATGTGATCAATAATTTTTAGTAGTGATCAGGGTGGGGGAGGAGGTTATAGTTTTCTTTATACCTCTATCCAAACTTAGTTGTTGATTTTAAAAATGCAATCTATCCTAACCTGTTTTTTACTCCAAGAGCAGATCCTTGCAAGGAGCCATGGAGCTGAACAAAGTTGAGTTTGTCAGTCTAAGTAAGTTACAATATGCAAAGTATGATAAACTCAGATCTTACCCACGCAGGACTGCTAGGTGTGTGTACACAGTATACACATAGAGCAACATGTAGCAGGCACCCTTACCACTAGTTTTTTTTTCCCAAGATTTTATTTATGAATACAAGAGCTGGGGTACAGGCCAGAGGTGCAGGGGGTGAGAGGACCCTCCGGAGACAGAGTGGGAAACAGAACAGGCAGATTGACCAAAGTACACTGCTGCGGGGAGCAGCAGACAAGCCAGAAGAGGTCTGCTGCACCATGTGGGTTGCTCCCTGGCCGGCCGCGGATTGAACTCGTGCTGCAGAGGCTGCAAACAGCTTCACAGACTGTGTCCTAACCCCTTGTGCCACCAGTTGTTTAGTACACAACTTGCACAACCTTATGTAGTCACTCTACTCAAAATCCTAGACTCCCATATGATAGAACTGATGGGCTTCTCCAGCTAATGGTCACTCTTGGTTGAGTGCTAGCATAGTGCCTTCAGGCAACAAGAAATGGGAAAACAAACAGCAATGAAGGAATATGGCTAGAGTGTGGCCATCATGAGAGGAATTTCCAGAACTTGCTCAAGTATGCTGGGGTGCAGGACAAGCTCCAGACCTAGCAGGTGGCAGAAGTTCAGTTTAAGCAGAAAAGCAGCTGTGGGGAACAGGCATAGACACACATAGCCTTGAGTTAAACTCAGATCTGAGGGTCAGCGGGGGATGCAGGGCAGTGCCAAGACATACCCAGGTCCCATCACTTCAGAGATGCTGCCAGGTTAGGCCAAAGTAGGTTCTAACCCTACTACTTTTAACCCAGTAAACCTATCCATTCAAAAAGTAAGTCACAAATACCAGCCAGTGTTTGAGGCATTCAGGTACAGTCTCCCTCCCACTTTGTTTCAAAGTGTGTTTCATTCTATTTGATGGCTCCTTCATATTTCCTCTTGATCTCAGCCTTCCTACATTATCTTCCATTCTGCCCATTCCCTTGGATTGGGAAGATGAGGTAGTCCTGCTGAGTAGCATCAGCACCATGGGCCCAACCAAGCTGAGCTAGCTTGCTACCCATGTGAGTCCCACCCCTGCCCAGTACACCATGGGTCCTTAGGGCACACCTCTATTCTGAGAATAGGAAGTAATGAAGTAATATAAAATCACACATGTATATATCATAGCATTTTCAGAGTGAGCTCTCAGGTGCTAAGGAAGGAAGGACTTCTCCCATGCTTTCCCAGTGGGCGAGCTGTCGGGAAGGAGGATGTCTATCCTGAAAGTAGAAGAGTTTGAGCACTCTACAATTTGAGGGGAGTCCTGCAGGGATTTGCTTCAGACCTGCATCTCCACGCTCCATACCTTGCCAGCTCCTC